GGAGCGGGGTCAGCCGCCAGGTACCCGCTCCGCGTGGGACCGCGGGCGAGGCGCCCCGCCTCGCCTTGCTCAAGGGAAGGTGAAAATCCCCCCGTCTTAGCGATGCGCGGAGGAGTTTGTGGGGCACCGCTCGGGGCCCACGTGGACGCGCCTCTTTCACACGCAGCTGTGCCGTGTGCCCTTGTGCTCTTCAGCTTCCCGAGGCTGGTTCTGTCCCCCAAGAGCTCAGGCGAGGTGCAACCCTAACCGAGCAGAGCTTCCCCCGCGCTGGGGAGTTTCTTGCTGTCCCTCCAGGACGTCTTCGGCTCTGGGCCTGGCACTGAAACCCGGAGCTGCGCGCAAAAGGATTGTGTTAGAAGAGCAGCTTCAGCAGGCAGTGAGAACATGCAGGTGTCCTTTGGAAAACTCTTCCAGGTTTTCAGGACAGCTGCCGAGCCCCTGAAGGATGCTTTGACATCATTTATGCAGGAGCAAATTAATAGTTGTGCCAAGACCTACTGAGATAATGCCTATAAAGTAGTGTAACTGAGAAGAAAATCAGGTGCTGTTAGTTCATTTGGAGAGTGACATACCTGCAGATACTCTGCAATCAAATATTGGGAAAACACTGGCTGGATGGGACCCGTTTCTTTCACTGGGCACTGTGGGAGAAAAGGCTCAGCTGGTCTCTGATGCCCTTGTCTCATCTACTATGATTTTTTTGGCCAAATGACTTTACTGTGGGTTATAAATCAGTGATGAGCAGCGTGAAGAGCAGATGGGGAGTTTAATGCACCCTCTGCAGCTCAGTCTTGTGTCTGGCTAATGTCCATGTGCAGTTCTGAAAAGGATGTTGGAAAAGGTTGTTCTTCATTTTAAATTGCTCTTTGGGAGCTGCGTAGTTTGTAATGTGCTGTGGAGGCACTTCTATGAGATGCACTTTCTTTGATATAGTCGATGCAATTTCAGTGGAAGAGCAACATGGGATGTCATGAAAGAAAACCAGTTTTGGAGGAACAAGCAGTACAAATAAGTAAATAAAACACAAATCTTGTAGAGAAAATCATTCTCAAAAAAAATGAATGAAAATTTTCCTTGATAATAATGCATGAATTCAGAGGCATATAAAAGAGATGGATTTGGCTTTTAAGAGGCAAAAATGTCCTTTCCGTATTTCACCTATGAAAAAGTAAGTCATGTTTTTGTTTAGGTTTTTTTTTTTTTGGCTTTGGGTGCCCAGAGAACAAAGTGATGACTGTGGTATAAGAACACAAAAAGAGCAGAATATCATTGAGTGTTATGGTATCTCTAATCTGAAAGTAGACCACTGGCTCAGTTTAACTTGCAACCGCTGCAGAAAAGGGCACATTTGACAAAGGACTTAGTGAATGCATGAGCTATTGTGGCAATAATACACAAAGCCTGTTGAAACTATAAGGAAAAGAATATCCTAGATACCTAGGGCACTGCTAGCAAGGATTAGATCACAGAAGGCAAAAGAATCCTGCTACAACCATTTTAACAAAAATACTGAGAACTTGCTATACCCTTTCTCATTTGTATGCTCTGACCAGTGGGCTCTTCAGTGCCAGTCCTGTGTCCAGGTTGCCACTGGATATAAACACAGACAAATGGTGGATTGAAGTTCTCAGTATTGATTTTCTCATACAAATAGGGGCCCAGGCACAAAACTCTAAGGAGGTGGGAGAAATTTCCTGGTGTTTGAAAAACAGAAGCAAAAGTGCTTGAAACTTGGAAGGAAAGAGAAGGCAAAGGCTTCTTCTGGTTACAGCTCAGTTATTCAAACAGTGTAATTGCTAGCTGGGATGGACAGTAAAAATTTTTCCCTAAGGTCGAACAGGAAGAAGAAGAGAAAAAAGGGTAAATGCAACAGAGATG